ATGTTATCTTTAAAAATGTTCAATCTTTGTGAATATGAGAAAACAAGTTAGGCATTGGTTGTGCCAAACCGTCACCAGCTCACCACCACCTTCTCAGGATACCAGGATTGGGCATTAATGTCAGGGATTCCCACAAATCACAAAGGAAGATGGCCAAAGACCTGACTATGGATGTAGGGAGCTGAGAAACCCCTTGGTCAATTTATCTCGAGGGTCACTGATGGGCTTGTTCTGGGCTCTGAAGATATTACCCAAAGCTGCAGCGTCTAAAAAAAAATGATGCCTCAGACACTAAAACAAAGAACTGCTGGAGAAACTCAGCAGTCTGGCAGCATTTGTGGAGAGAAAGCAGAATTAATGCTTCGAGTCCAGTAACCTCTTTTCAAGAAGGGTCACTGGACCCAAAACGGTCATTCTGCTTCTCTGTCCACAGATGCTGCCAGATCTGCTGAGTTTCTCCAAAAAAACAGCCAAAAACTGTTTTGTTTCTTTTGGTGCCTGCGGTTTGCCGATTCAATCAAAGATGTATGGAGAATTTGTTATAAAAATGTCACCAGTTGAAGCTCTGACTACAGTTATATTTTTATAGTCTATAGATTCATGTATTTCCTATCTGCAAAATGTAACTTCTTGTCAATTTTTCCCATGATGAACTCATGTCTGGATTTGGAATGTAAGGTGTCCTTGTAAACGCGTCACTTAAGTTGTAATTACACCTTCTTGCCAGTGGAAGTCATGCAGCAGTGTATAAAAGTATGGCTTCTATTAGAAATCAGAACCTAGAATGCATAAATGTAATGCTTGTGACAATGAACAGGATAAGTCAAAGAATATCTCATACACTTATTTTGTCTTTGCTCCTGCTTCTCTCCTATTAGCTTTTTTTTGCCTCTGTCTATTTGACTTGTTTTTCATATCTTTTCCAATGCAAGGTGATGTATCAAGGACAGGAGCCTTGAATGAAGTGGTGCTTTTGGAGAAAATGTGCTTTCCCACTTCTCCAAACTCTTGTGTCACTTACACCTTCACATCACCTGCAAATCACCTGCAAACACACCGGTACTGTCCCCGCATTCTGCACTGCTCACCTTGGTCCTTGTTCTTCACAGAGCAGTTGGAAAAATGACACACAAATAATATTCCTCTTGGTATCCCTTCTGTTTTCTTCAGAGAGATTCCAAGGTGCAAATGAAAAAAGACTCCTTATCCTTGTCTCTATTTTGCCTTAGGTGTTAGTAATTTTCAAACGAGAGAACGACATTTACCTTTCCTAGCTACCAGTATGAACCACTAGAAACAAAAGCAACAGGACCAGGTTATTTGAGACTGCCCCACTATTCTCTAATGATCGAATTGTAGCCACAACTTCACTTTCCTGCCTGCCCCCAGAAGCTTTGCATCCCTTGTAAATTAAAAGTCTGTCTAATTCAGAACCAGGCTCCACTGCTTGTTGAGGGAGAGAATTCCGAAGTGTAATAACCTACTGAAAGATGAGATTCTTCCTCAGCTCTGCCTTAAGTTGGAGAACACCTTATTTTGAACCTGTACCTTTGATTCTGGACACTACTGTCAGGGAAAACATTCTTCTCACAACAGCTACTTTGTCAATCTCCCTCAGAATCTTAAGGGTTTTACTAATATTACTGCTGGGAATGGAAACCCAGTTTCTTCAATGAGAATAGGTTATCCCACGTTGAACAGGTCAACCCTGGTCTGTGCAACATTTCAGACTGGGCGAGAGCAGGTCCCGGTTTTAGACTGACCACCCGCCGTGAGTTAATGTGCTCAGTTGGCATAATACTCACGTGTCTCCAAAGAGTCCATGGTAATATCCAAAGTAGACGAGTGACTGGTCATTGTAGAATGTGCTGCTCAGTCCATTCCCAACTCCATACCCCTGGAACACAGAACATAGTTTCACCACAACAAGCTTGGCTCTTGTCCACACTCCACCCTCTCGTCTGACTCCAGGACATACAAGTGTTGGAATTCATTGGAAACTCTGCAGCCTACACCAGTGAGGATCATTCTCAACCCCGAGCCGGGAGATAATGAGTTTGATTCCCACTGCACATGAGGGCAAGACCGAAATCTGAGAGTTCTTCACGAACAGAGATAATGTTTTTGGATAAGAAGTTAAACTAAATCTCTGCCCCTCAGATCATATAATCCCTACAGTGTGAAAGCAGGCCATTTGGCCCAACAAGTCCACACTGACCGTCCAAAGACCATCCCACCCAGACCCACCCCATCCCTGCAACCCTACATTTCCCATGGCTGACCCACCTAGCCTGCACATCGTTGGACTGTGGGAGGAAACCCATGCAGACACAGGGAGAATGTGCAAACTCCACACAGTAAGTTGCCCAAGTGTGGAACTGAACCCTGGTCCCTGGCGCTGTGAGGCAGCAATGCTAACCGCCGTGCCACACCATAAAGATGGAAAGGTCCCATGGCACTATTTCAGAGAAGCGTGCTATTTGGTTCCTCCAAATGTTACCTTTCTTTCACATCAGTCAATCAGGTTTCTCCAGCCATTATTACATTGCTGTTTCTAAAAGCTGCCTGTGCACACATTGGCTACATTGCAATAAGACTTCCACTTAATACCTCAGTGGCTGAGAGGCTCTCTGGAATGTTGTGATAAAATATGAAATGCAGGCTTTTTATTCTCTCACATTAACATCCCTTTATCTAATGCTTCAGTCTCACGTTCAAAGTATGGGGACAGGATTAGGGTTCAACAATGACAGGTAGGGGAACACAAGGCAATCCAAGTTTTTAGGAGAAGGAATTGCAAATACCTTGAAGTTAATCGGAGCTGGTCCATCCGCAACTTTCAGGCTTAGGGTTGGTACATAAACACCCCCATAACTTTCACCAAAGATATAAAAATCGTTGCTCTTGAAGCTGGGGAACTTATTGAAGAAATCCTGCAAGGCCAGATAGTTGTTTTCTGCAACCTAGCAAAGTTGGAAGAAGAAAATGAGATCGGGGTTAATGCTATGCTCCCGTCGATGAAGAAACCACAGTAAGATGGAATTCATTCACTTCCCAAGATATTCTGATTTCAGCTGTGGTTCAGTGGGTACTTTTGCCTCCAATTCAGAAGGTGTGGGTTCAAGTTCCACTTGAGACACTTCAGTGAGCAATCCAGGCTAACAGTTCTGCACTGTTCCAGGAGATGCCCTTCAGGTGAAACACCAAACCATGGCCCCCAATACTTCTCTAGTGGGTGTAACAGATCCATGGCAATATTTTAAAGAATACCTTGGGAATGCCTGTGGGACATTTGGGACCTTACTCTGCCCAAATTGACTTCCATATTTCCAACATTACAACAGGCTACACTTCAAAAACCCATGTTTGGCTCTAAAGCTACTGGGATTACCTGAGGTAGTGAAAGATTTTAGTGAAATATAAGTTCTTTGATTAGATAATGAATCTAAGTAGTGACATGGAGCAGTGTTTAAAGTACTGGGAATCTGATGTATTTCATTTGCTCAGATTTCAGAGGGGCTTCTAACTATTACCAAAGTAGTGATGTGAACATAAGGTGGGAAGGCATAGATCAGGGGCCAAAATAATGATGAGAGTTGAACATTAATGAACAGGAGAGAGTTAGTTCTGTCACCAGTCTGCGGTCACAGGGCAGGAGGCAGGAATTCCTTGTGCACATTATTTGCCTTTTGATGAAATTGTTTAAGTGTACTTACATTTCAATAGTCTGGGTAACCAGGCCAATCTCATGCTATCACAGTGTAGTTCTGATTTGGGTAACTTGATTCACAAGCTGATATCTGGATTAACAGAGTGGAATCCTACTCCTTTTCTCAGTGTGAATACTGGACCAACAATTGGTGTTTCAGGTTCCAAACAAATCAAGTGCAATGAGGATCCTGCAGTATGAAAATCACCTCTTTACAGAGAGAGACATGTCCCAGTTAACACAAGTTATACAGTAGCTATCTTGCATGACATATCATTGGTTGGATACAAGAAATAGACAGCCCTACGTTTAAGGGTTCAATGTTTTGTGATTGGCAAACGGATTTCTACCTGCTCCGATCTCTGTTAGTGTGATATTGTGGTTTGGTAGAGGATGTTAAATTTGATTTTTGATTTTTTGATTTTATTTATTATTGTCACATGTACCTGGGTACAGTGAAATGTTTTGGTTTGCATTCAGTACAGGCAGATCTTACCATACGAAGCCCATAAGGGTAACAGAACACAGCAAGGAATACAATGTTATGGCTGCGGGGAAAGTGCGCAAAGAGCGAAGTCAACATTAAATTTGAAATTTGACAGGTCCATTCAGAAGTCTAATAAAGTGAAGCTGTTGTTGAATCTGTTGGTACTTATGTTTAAGCTTTTGTATCTTCTGCCCTACAGAAGAAGTTGGAAGAGGTTATAACCAGGATGGTGGGGGTCTTTGATTATGTTGGCTGCCTTCCAGAGGCAGCGTGAAGTATAGATGGAGTCAGTGGATGGAAGGTTGGCTTGCGGGATGGCCTCGGCTGTGTTCACAAGGTTGAGATAAAGATGCTGGAAATTGAGGTTTTTTTTTAAGATTCAAAGTTGATGAACAAATGGCCGATATGATGCATTTGCGCATGCACAACTCTATTTAATACCAGCACATTATTACAAACACGCGCTACAAACCACGTGCCAACTGCGCGCGCGCGCACATGCACACACACTACCAGGTCCTTGGACAGGCACCATTCACAAAGTCCGCACGGGGGGGGGGGGGGGAGCCTGAAAAGAACAGAATGCCCGATCTCTCTCCACCCTCCACTGCCACCTTGGTCCCCTTCCACTGGGATTGGTTTCTTGCTCTTCTCTACAGGTTGATCTCTCTTCCCTCCCCGGGTTGTATTCCCCCTACCCCCAACCCCTCTTGTCAACATTGAGCCAGTCCTATACACAAACGCAGTGCGGACTTCGATGCAACGACGTGGAGGCACCCGGAGCAGTCCGCATGCGCAGCTCCAGTCTCCGCCAACATGGCGTCGTCCCCGGAACACTTGGTTATTCAATGTCATCTCAACTGTAAACACTCTTAGACCCAGTGCGAGCTCTACACAGTAACATCCCCTTTCACAGTCTCTCGATTATGGGATCTCTCACATCATTGCTGAAGGAGTTTACTATTGACATAGTTCACCCTTTACTGCCCCCCAGTAAACAGGTGGCACCATCTGGCAGGGCCTAACAGAGGAAGCAAGCTGGCCACAATACCTCTTTATCGTTGGTGGCGTAGTTTTGATCATCCGAGTAGGAGAAGCCAACTCCGGCCGGGGACTCCAGGTACAGAACATTGGCCACCTTGTTCCAGCTGTACTTATTGATGTAGAGTGTACTGCCATCATCATTCACCTGGAAGTAACACACAGGAGTCAGTGACCTCCAACTCCCCATCACCAATGCTAGTCTCCACATTCCACACCGCCCTTGCACCCTGTCTCTAAATTACCACTGCCTGCATCCTTTAAAAGAAGTGGGCGCAGAGACAGCCGACATTTGTTATGATTTTCCAAAATTCCTTAGATTCTGGAAGTGGATTAAAAACAGCAAATGCTCACCTTTATTCAAGATTATAGCCAGATAATTAGAAAATCGTAATGTGGTCTTGTTTTAGACAAAAGGAAATCATGTTTTAAATAATTTGTTGGAGTTCTTTGAGGAAGTAACAACATGGATAAAGGGGAACCTGCAGATGTAGTTGGACTTCCTGAAGGAACTGGATAAGATGCCACATCAAAGGTTATTGCACAAAACAAAAGCTCATGGTGTAGGCATATTAGCATGGATAATGGATTGGTAAGATAGCAGGAAGCAGAGTGTAGAGATAAATGGGGTCATTTTTGCATTGGCAAACCATAAGTAGTACAAGTAAAGGTAAAGTCACCATAGTCCTACCATTCCATAAGTCTGCTGACTGATTTGATAGAGAGAGAGCGTACATTGCCGCAGGGATCAATACTGGGGCTGAACTATTTGCAACCTATATAATGAATTTAATGAAGGGACTAAAAGATACAGGAGCAGAATTAGGCCGTTCACCTCATCAAGTCTGCTCCTTCATCCAATCAAGACTGATGTGTTTCTCAACCCCATTCTCCTGCCTTCTCCCCGTATCTTTTGATCCCCTTATTAATCAAGAATCTATCTCTCTCTGTCATAAATACACTCACTACTTGGTCTCCACAGCCCTCTGCGGCAGTGAGTTACACAAATTCACAATTCACTGGCCGGAGAAATTCCTCATCTCAGTTCTAAAGGGTCATGCCTTCACTCTGAGGCTGTTACCTCAGATTCTAGACTCTCCTACTAGTGGAAACGTCTCCACATCCACTCTATCCAGGCCTCTCAGTATTCTGTAAGTTTCAATGAGATACCGCTCTTATCCTTCTAAACTCCATACAGACCCAGAGTCCTCAACCGCTTCTCATATGACAAGCCTTCTTCCCTGGGATCATTCTTGTAAACCACTTGTGAATGCCCTCCAAGGCCAGCACATTTGGATACGAAACCCAAAACGGCTCACAATATTCCAAATGTGATCTGACCAGAGTCTTATACCGCTTCAGCTGTACATTCTTGCTCTTGTCTTCGAGCCCTCTTGAATACTAACATTACATTTGCTGTCCTAACTGCCAACTGAACCTGTATGTTAATCTGTAGAGAATCCTGAACTAGGACTCCTTAATCCCTTTGTGCTTCAGATTTTAGAAGCATAGAATCCCTACAGCATGGAAGCAGGCCATTCGACCCCTCGAGTCTACACCGACCCTCCAAAGAGCATCCCACCCAGACCCGCCCTCTACATTTCTCACCCTAGACACTATGGGCAATTTAGCATAGCCAATCTACCTAACCTGAACATCTGTGGACTGTGGGAGGAAACCCTGAGCACCTGGAGGAAACCCACGCAGACACAACAGAGTGTACTGCAGTTTTTCCCCATTTAGAAAATAGTCTACAACCACTTGGTCTTACCAAAGTGCATAAATTCACACTTTCCCACATGGTACTTCATCTGCCCCTTCTTTGCCCACTCTCCTTGCCTGTTCAAGTCCTTCTGCAGCCTTCTCACTTCTTCAATACGAGTGTCCCTCCACCTATCTTTATGTCACCAAACTTAACCACAGTACTCTCATTTCCTTCCTCCAGATCATTAATTTATAATGTGAGTAGTTGTCCCAACACTGACTCCTGCATAATTCCAGTAGTCACTGGCTGCCAACCTGAGAAAGACCCCTTTATCCTCACTCTCTGCCTTCTGCCAGTTGGCCAATCCTCTATCCATGCCAGTTATTTGCCCCGAACACCATGGGGTCTTCTCTTAACTAGCAGTCTCCTGTGTGGACCTTATCAAAGGCCTTGTGGAAATCCAAATGGATCATGTCCACTAGCTCTCCTTTGTCCAACATGAGCTGTCCTTGATGATGCCATGCTGACAGATCCCTATTTTACCATGCACTTTCAATTACTCCACAGTCTCATCCTTAATAATGGACGCAATGTAATGCAGCTAATTTTTTTTTTTCTTCATTCATTCATTCATGGGATGAGGGTGTTGCTGGTTAGGCAGCATTTATTGCCTATCCCTAATTGCCCAGAGGGCAGTTAAGAGTCATCCACATTGCTGTGGGTCTGGAATCACATGTAGGCCAGACAGGATGGCATATGATAATTTGCAGATGATGCTATGATCGGTATGGATGGTAAGATAGGTAGGAAAGTAAGTTGTCAGGAGGAAGTAATGATCTTACAAATATAAATAGATAGGTTTAGAAGAGTGGACAAAATTTGGCAGATAGAATATAATGTGGAAAAATGTGAACTTGTCCACTTGGCAGGAAGAGTACAAAAACAGTATACTCATTAAATGGAGGGAGTTTGAAGAATTTAGTGGTACAAAGGGCTCTGAATGACTGATTATGAATCACAAAGTTAGCACACAGCTATAGCAAGTGATTAGGATGGCAAATGAAATGTTGTTTGTTGCAAGGGGAATGGAATGTAAGACCAGGAATGTTTTACATCAGCTATACAGAGCACTGGTGAGACCGCTTCTGGTGTACTATGTACAGTTCTTTACTTTAAAAGAAACTGCTTTGTAAGCAGTTAGAGAAGGTCTACACAACTCATTTCGTAATTTGGTACTATGAAGAAGGGTTGGTCCATTACCCATTGGAATTTAGAAGAATGAGAGGTTATCTTAGTGAAATCTTAGAGATTCCTTTTTTTTGTTTGGGAGTCATTTCTCTGTAGGAGTCTCTTCCTCAAAGTACTGGAAGTTGGGTCTTTAAAGTTTATTCAAGGCTTAGTTACATATATTTTTGATAGGAATTAAGAGTTATTGGCAGCAGGGCTAGGGGAAGTCAGTCTAAAAACTGGAGTTAAAGCCACAATCAGACCAGCTATGATCTCACTGAATGACAGAGCTAACACTGCTGCAGTGAATCTCAATCATCACCCTTTTGTAAAGGAGATACTTACGTGCAGAGGTCCATTTTCAGCGAGGAATCCATCTAAGGAACTGCATCCAGGTCCACCGTTCAGCCACAGGACCACAGGGTCAGTATCTGGGCTTCGCTGGGATGTTACAAACCTACAGGAGACACATTGGAAAATTGACATCCTCCATTGAGGACTCAGGATCTTGCAGGACAAAGAGAAGATATTCAGCTGTTTGTAACCCTGCCAGCTCTCTGCGAGTACAACTCAGCAAGTTCCACTCCCCTGCCTATTTCTCATAGCCGTACAGATCTTTCCGCAATCAGAGCCCCCTCTCAAATGTTAAGCCCATAATTCCGTTTTGCAAAATGCGATTGAATCTGCCTCATCACACTCTCAGGTAGTGCATTCTAGACTGTAACTACACTATATGTAAAATTATCTCTTATGTTGCCTCTGGTTTGTTTACCAATTGTTTCCAATCAATGCCCTCTAGTTTGTGATCCTCGCACCAATGTGAACAGTGTCACCTCTAATCTACTGTAGTTACCAGATTGGACTAACCCACTTGAATAAGAGTCTCCCACCAGATCATTTCTTGCTCTCGTCTTTTGAAAACATTGATTCTATTCACCCAGTTGACACAAGGATGCATTTTCCAAAAAAAATGTGATTGGAAACTTTGATGAATGAAAGGATTCAATAGGTTAGACATGGGGAATCTATTTCCTGTACTTGATTAAATCTAGACCAAGGACCCTTAATCTTAAAAGTATTGTTAGACCCTTTTGGATCAGACACTTTAGTTGAAATCAGAACTCCATCCAACAAGACAGTGGATTCTCTCAGTGAAGAATTGGAGCTTTCAGGACTGAGACCAGCAGAGTTTCGTTGGGTAAGCTCATCTAGGAAATGGGGTAAAGGTGAGATCAAGTCGAGATGCAAATCAGCCATGAGCTGATGAATGGTGGTGCAGGCTGGAAGGGCTGAATGGCCTCTTGTTCCTATGGGATTAGGTGTGGGAAGGCTGGACACTTTTCACTTCCCTAGCCCAGGGGCACTGAGACCAATTGTTACAGCCAACTGAAAGGAGGGACCTAGAGAAAACCAGCAGCACCCAGTGTTGTTCAAGTCCATTCAGGGACAGTTTCTCCTTCTCTGGGAAAGAGACGAGGCAGTGCTTAGATAATCCCACTGCCTCGGCTCAGTAACTCCATTTTCGACCAAATACAATGGCTGATCCAGTACAGCCTGCGTGCTCTCCTCCATCACCTTCAGCAACACAGTGAAAAGTCAGTTCCTTTTGTGAATGTAATCAGCAAGTGCCAGTGGTCAGAATAGTGAGTGTGGAAGAATGGTAGCAAATACTTATTATGTGTTTAACATTTGAGAGGGGGCTCTGATTGCGGAAAGTAAAGAGTTGGGAGTTTAAGTTGAGACAGTGCATTTATTTAGTACTGATCTCGATTTTCAGACATGTTGAAAGAGATGAAGTACTTTTGAAGTACAGTGTGTTGTTATGTAGGAAACACTGCAGCCACCAGCTATGCATAGTTAGAATAACCAGATAGACGATTCTTGTGACATTGGTTGAGGGAACTACTGGCCAGGGGGACAGTTCTTCTTTCTTCCTGGGATCGCTTGCATCCAGCTGACCAAGCCGATGGGATTTAATTTAACCTCTCATCCAAAAGACAGCACCTCAAAGAGTATAGTTCGCCCTTGGTGCTGCACTGAGAAGAGAGCAACATCTCTGTGAAAGTACTTCCCTTGTTATCTCAGACTCCAACATTTTCTCCCTCCTGTCTCGCTCTTGGTGAATGTATATACCGCAAGCAATCACGTTAATTAATCAAGAAGTGATTAAGAGCAGACCTCTGTATCTCAATTTCCCCAACCCCACCACATCAGCAAGTCCACAGTTTAGTGTGACCCAATTACAATGACCAATTCAGAACAGATCAGGGATTTTCACTTACGAAGAATTCAGGAGAGTGGGATTGACTAGCTGTGCCTTGTCTGTCATGCTGGGATAACTATATAATATCCCAGTTCCAGTGAAGCCACATTCACTTACCAGTAGTGTAGATGTTGGCCAGGAGATGCCTGCAAGTAGCCAGACCACTGCTTGAAGTTCAGTCTGGTGTTCAGACCCGGTAACGAGAGGATTTCATCTGGAGAGTAATATGCCAGACAGCTACTCACACAAAGTAACAGCAAACTCCACCACATGGCTGTGAAGCAGTGGGACAGAGAGATGGAATCTATGTGACAATCACAGCTCAGAGAATTACCAAGGAATATGGCAGCCTGGTTTAGTGGCTCCTTATGTAACTAGGCTGGGCGTCACATAATCAATGGTGCATGATACAAGGAGGCAGGAATTAAAATATTAACATATGATAAGGAAAGAAATCACAAGGTATTAAAAAAAATGTTGAGAGTGTTGTAAACAGGTGAAATTTGTTATTTATGCTGGTTAGTTTTGATAAAGTAACTAAATAACCAGTGACCCCAAACTGTCCTTTAAAACCTTAAATACTGTGTAGATAATAAGCAGCGCTCCCTTCAACCGCTGCTGGATTTCCAAAGGTATGAAATCCTTACAGTATGAAAGCAGGCCATTTGGCCCATCAAGTCCACACACCCCTTCCATGAGCATCCCACGCAATCCCTGTAACCCTGTATTTCCTATGGCTAATCCACCTAGTCTGCACATCATGGGTAATTTAGCATGGACAATCCATCTAACCTGCACATCCTTGGAGTGTGGGAGCAAGCTGGAGTAGCCAGAGGAAACCCAAGCAGACATGGGGAAAACGTGCAAACTCCACACAGACAGGCTCCCAAGCTGGAATTGAACCAGGGTCCCTGGTGCTATGAGGCAGCAATGCTGACCACTGAGACCCCTACAGTTTCCCATGGAAATTGTATTTGCCTAAACACAGCTCAATTGTGTATTTATGGAATAATTTAACAGATGTTAAATTCAAGGTGTTCCAAAACAGTTCAAATTCTCCAATTCTTCATTTGTTTTTGTGATTAAAGTGTCACTGGTTAGGTCTTCACTTACCACCTATTCCTAGTTGGAATAATGGTCTGTGGTATTCGGCAGGAGGTTTCTTTGCCTACGTTTGACATGTTGCCATTGGACATCATTGAGTTCTGAAGTCAATGTTGAGGACTCCTGGGACAACTCCCTCCTGACTGTATGCCTTCATTTCTGGTGGGTCTGTCTTGCAGACAGGACAGGACATTGGCTGTAAGTTATGATACCATGAGTATGAATGTAGTATCAAAGACAATATGTCAAATAACCCAATCAGGAGTCAACTATTTTGTGTTATGAATCATATTAATAAGTAATCATATAATGAAGATATCATTGGGAAAGCGTGATCATACTAAAATGAAATTTACGTTTTGAAGCAATGTTAAGATAGAAATGAGGGTTGTAAGTTAAAATAAAGCCAACTAGGCAGATATGTGAAGTGAGCTGACAAAGGTAGGTAGGAAACTTGTATTAAATGATAGTAGCTAGGAAATTTTAAAAAAACTCATAATTCTGAAAGAATTGATGTTCTGTTGAGGAATTTAAATTCCACTGGAAAATTATTTCAATCATGAATAACTGGAGAAGTTCGAAACAGTGTTAGGAGAACAACATTGCCAAACAGTACAAAGTCTGAAGGCTGGAAGGCCTTTTAAGAATTCAACAAAGTATTACCAAGAGGCTTCTTAAGAGGGGAAAATAATATGACAGTAAGCCAGCAAGAAATATAAACACAGATTGTAAGAGCTTTCACAAGTGTATAAAAAGGAGGTGGTTAGGGAAAGTAAATATGGCTACCACAGAGGCAGAGAGAGGGAAATTATTTTGGGGAATAAGGAAACTGTAGAGAGGTTAAATAGAGTCATATAGCATGAAAACAGGCCCTTCGGTCCGATGTGTCCGCGGAGCTGGAGAGTACCAAACAGCCCCTTATGCCTGCTCTATTGTTCAGTATGGTCAATGACTAATCTTGGGCTTCAACTCCACTTTTCACCCCATTCTCCATATCCCTCAATTCCCTGAGAGACCAAAATTCTGTCTCTGTCAGTTTTAAGTATGTTCAATAATACATTTGCAATCACCAGAGATCAAGAATTCAATAACTTCACAATCCTTTAAGTGAAGAAGTTTCTTTTTATCTCAGGTTGACTAATTTCCTTTAGGGAAGGAAGTCTGCTGTTCTTAACTGGTCTGGCCTATATGTCACTCCAGATCCACAGCAATGTTGTTGATTTCTAACTTCCCCATGAAATGGCCCTAGAAAGCCACTCAATAAATGTTGGTCCAGCCAGTGACACCCACTTCCCATGAACACATATAAAAAAATTCTTCTAAACTCCAAATATAGACAAAAAGTACTCAACCTCTCATCTTGGTCAGCCCATCATCCCAGGGATCAATCTAGTGAAGTTTGTTGTCCAGCCTCCAGTGCAAGTATAAACGTTTTTAATTATGGAGACCAAAACTACTCCAGTACTCCAGGTCTGATTTCACCAAAGCCCCATACAGTTGTAGCTAGACTCCTCTTCTCTTGCACTCCAATCCCCACACAGTAACCCCAACAACATGCCATTTACCTTCCTAATTACTTGCTGTGCTTGCATGCCAATTTTCAGAGTTCCCTCTATGGATTCACTCAGATCATCCATATTTACAAGTTTCATACATTTTAGAAAATATTCTGTTTTCTATTCTAATAATCATAGTGAATAAATTGACACTTTCATACTCCATCTGCCATCCAGTTGCCCACTCACTTAACCTGTCTATATGTCTTTGCAGCAGCCTTTTTATTTCCTTATAATAAAACAGAGAACTGCAGATACTGAAAATCTGAAACAAAAACAGAAATTATCAGGTCTGGCAACAATGTAGAAAGGGAAACAAGAGTTAACATTTCCAAGTCCAGTGACCCCATTTCAGAACAGATGTTCCATTTAATCCCAATTCTGCCTCTCTCTCTCTTTCTCTTTTCTCTTTTTTCACTTTTCTGGAAATCCTTTCCCTCATTTTTCTCTGTTGGAATTAAAATTTCAAGTTCTGCAGTTTTAATTTCTCTGTCTCAAATCCTCTGTTTCCAGTTCTAGATATTTCTGCACCCATTTTGCAATTTCTGTTTTTCAGGTGCCTCTCCATCTCTTAAGCGCCTAGCTATCCCTTTTAAGTCTTCCATGGCCAAGGCTTTTAGTTTTTCAGAAGTTACTTTGTGCTACTTTATGAAAGCATTAATATCACATGTGGACATGTTTCCATTTTAATTTTAGATACTCAAAAAAACCTATTTGCAGAAAGTTTTCGAAGGAATAATTCATTTCCACAACTCCAAATCTAATGTTCACCTATGAGATTATCATACTTGAGTTGCTAAATTTGTTACAACCAGGTGAGGATGGGGAATGAATTCCACTCTTTTTAAACCCCTCTTGGTCAGTCGCAAGCAATTTTTAAACATTTCTTTTATTATGTATTTATCAGGTTTTCCTGAGTGAAAGAAGGAAGAATTTTATGACCTAATGGAAGAAAGAAAAATAAAAATATGATATCAAACCCACAGACAAACACAGATTATAAGTTTAAAAGGGAGAATGGTCACAGGCAGGAAAAATAAAGGCTATACCATTTAAAAGATTTTCTTCCTTGAGGGGCTGGAATCTTCTTTTAACTTGAGACCACGGTTGTTTAATTATTGATAATTAATTATTTAATATATTAAATAATGAATTATTCTCAGCAGATCTTGTTTACAAATCCATCTTTCCTTCTGTATGATCAGCAGCTCAAAATCAGCTATTGAAATATATTTCAGTGTATATTCCTGACCGTGGCTCCATTTGTTTCAAAGTTACTAACCATCAGGGAAGCCTTTCATTTCTCAAAGTCTGAGGTTATTGTATAAGTGTCAATTAAAGCAGGAAAGGCAAATTTCTTGATACTGACTAAGTTGCCTGGTTTCAATGTCTTTAGATAAAAGTGATAATTTCAGTGCAGACAGTTCCTTTATTTTATTTACTTGTGGGATGTTGACATCACTGGCTACACCACTGCTTATTTCTCATCCCTAGTTGCCCTTGAGAAGGTAGTAGTGACTGAGTGGCTTGCTAGGCCATTTTGAGGGCCTTTCAGAGTTGACCACATTGCTGTGGGTCTGGGGTAACAGGTAGGCCAGACCAGGTGGGGATGGCAGATTTCTTTCCCTGAAGGATGTTCATGAACCAGATAAATTTTTTTGACCTTTGGCAGTGGTTTCATGGTCATCATTAGATTCTTAATTCCAAATATTTGTTGAATTCAAATTCCACAATCTGCTGTGTCAGGATTCAAACCCAGGTTCCCGGAACATTAGCTGAGTTTCTAGATTAATAGTATAGCAATAATACCAGTAGGCCATCACCTTCCCAATATTCCATGTGTTATTCCACATGGATTCATGAAGCCTGCTTCAATTTGTGAATTTAGGTTCATGTTTCTTTGTTTTTAAAAGCCATTTTTGTCAGTAAGATGGTAGTTATAATAATCATATGATGGAAGGTAAATTTTAATAGATCATCTTTAATGTTACCATACCAGTGTCCCACTGCACCTACCTACCAAGATACTTGAAACACTGTGGCTTCAGCCAGTGGTTCAGTGGATATTATTCTCACATCCAAGCTGGGAGTTTTTTGGTTCAGATCTCACTCCAGTGACTACAAACAGTGAGGAAGGGAAAACAATACACAGAAAAACACGAATAGTTTGGGGAAGTGAGCAGGTGAGTAGAATTGTTGTATTCTTTCTTGGGATGTCAGCATCTCTGACTAGATAAGCATTTGTTACTCATCCTTAATCACCCTTCAGAAGATGGCCTTCAAGGACCGCTGCAGTCCATGTGGTGTAGGCATACACAGCACTGTTAAAGGAATGTTATTTAATTAGGAAAGGCTTAGGGCAAAAATAAAGCAACTTGGCTATATAATACAGAGCAAAGGGAACAATGGATTGTTCACTAAAGCATGTAGTAACAGCAAGGAATGGTAGGCAATCAGTGGGAAGTGTAAACACAAAATTGAAAGGAAAATCCCAGATGAGTATTGTTCTGCATACAACACATCCTGGCACTGCAGGTGGTGCAATGGAACTGATAACTACCTTAAGACACCTGAGCTGTGAAGAACATTTAAAGAGCTTGGGATTGTTTACTGTGGTGAAGATGAGGTTTGGGAGAGGTTTTATCCAAGATTCTCAAATAAACTGAAAAATAGAACCTCAATAACAGATTCAACACTGACACAAGATGCAGAGCCAGTGGGTATTTTGAAAAGGAACTTACACAGCTTAAATAACTTCATGAAGTAGTCGGTGAGTGTACTGTTCAGGAGAGACAAGCTGGGGAAGAAAACAGGGAAAATTGAATAGTTTTTTAGGAGTGTGTGATTGAGGAATGTCAGAATTTGGGACTTCTCAGGAAATTTTTTTTGTACCTTACTGTGTCTGACATTTTGAGATCTCCTTTGATAAAGGAGAGATTTCAAAGTGTATTTATTGAAGCATTGAGATAACACGAGAGGGTTAGTTCTGTCACCAGACTACGGTCACAGGGCAGGAGACAGCAGTTCATTGTGGACATTATTTGCCTATTGATTAAATCCTTTAAGTGTTTTTACATTTCAATAGCCTGGTTACCAAGGTTATCTCACGCTATCACGGTGTAGTCCTGATCCTGGGTAACTCGATCCACAAACTGATTCCTGGATTAACAGTGTAGTATCTACTCTCTTTCCCAATGTGAACACTGGACCAAAGAGTTGATTTTTCAGCTTCCAAACAAATCCAGTGGAATAAGTATGGAGAAGGAACAATTCAGAGTAACAATAATTAATTCTGTGAAAGCCGTCTTCAATGGTTTTAGAATGGATCTCTGAATAACCTGGTGTCGTGTGAATTCTGGCCTTGAATAAATTGGAGTCATAGGTCGTCACGATAAATGGTAGCTGACTAAAAGGCAACCTTCAAAAAACAGATGGTTTGCGCACAGTCAATGTGCATCTCTTCAAAATGGAAAGTTGGAGCATACAAATCCAGAGCTCCCTGGATGAGAAAAATAGAAACTATAATTAAAAAGAAAACACTGTTCTTATGACTGATGTCTAGAAGAAAAAAATAACTGAAAATCAGTCTGAATAAAGGAGGTTTGGAAAGATGGTGAAAAAGCAAATCAGAGAAACAGTATGAAAAGAGACTGCCAGCAAACATAAAAGGGAATCCTAAAGATTTCTACAGGCATATAAATAGTGGAAAAGTGATCAAAGGAGGAGTGGGGCTGATTAGCTACCAAAAAGCAGACTTACATATGGAGGCAGAAGGCATGGCCGGAGTGTAAACCAAATACTTTGTGTCTTGCCAAGAAAATGAAACTGCCCAGGTCATGATGACAGAGGACAAAATCCAGTCATTACAAAGGTTTGAAATTGATCAGGAGGTTGTACTGAATAAGTTGTCGCTATTTAAAGTTAACAAAACACTACGACCAGATGAGAAATGTGCAAAGACTTTGCAAATAATAACAGTGGCTATTACAGAGACACTAGCAATAACTTTTCAGTCTAGATTTTTCCAAGGTATTTAGGGAATATTTGAGGGTGAATGCACCCACTGCCCTTTTTATACTTTGAGTGCTGTTAGAAAGAGGATTAGTTAACATGCAGGGAGCAGGGAAGGTGAGGCATTTTCAAGTTGGCAGGCACTGAGTGCCACAATATAGAAATACAGAAGATAGGAGCAGGAGGAGGCTATTCAGCCCTTCGAGCCTGCTCCGCCATTCATCACGATCATGGCTGATCATCCAACTCAACATCCTAATCCTGCTTTCTCCCCATAACCTTTGATCCCATTCGCCCCAAGTGCTATATCTAGTCGTCTCTTGAATACATTCGATGTTTTGGCATCAACTACTTCCTGTGGTAATGAATTCTACAGGCTTTGGGTGAAGAAATGTCTCCTCATCTCCGTCCTAAATCGTCCACCCCAAATCCTCAAACTGTGACCTCTGGTTCTGGACACACCCACCATCAGGAACATCCTCCCTGCATCTACCCTGTCCAGTCCTGTTAGAATTTTATAAGTCTCTATGAGTCTCGTTCATCTGAACTCTAGCAAAATCAATCCTAAACTAGTCAATCTCTCCTCATTTCGTCAGACCCGCCATCCCCAAAATCAGCCTGGTAAACCTTTGCTACATTCCCTCAAAAGCAAGAGCATCCTTCCTTAGAAAAGGAGACCAAGACTGTACACAGTATTCTAGGATCAACATTGATAAAGAGACAATAATGTGTCTAGTTTTGCTGATGATACACACCCCAATGAAAACATAAGCTGTAAGGAGGCTGTAAAGAGGTAATAGATGTGTTAATTTAGTGCAAAACATTTGTGAGTGAAGCATAATGTAGGAAAGCGTGAGGTTATTCATTTTGGACATAAGACCAGAACATCAGAATACTTTTTGAAAGGTGTGACACTTACTAATGTTGATATTTAGAGAGACCTGTGAGAGTTCATACAAGGAGCACAGTAAGTTTGCATACAGGTACAGCAAGCAATTAGGAAGACAAATGGCATGTTGGTCTTGGGATTGGAGTCTGTAAAGTTTTTATAAGGCTTTGGTGAGACTGCATTTGGAGTATTGCATGCAGTTTTGGTCTCCATATTTCAGGAAGGAAGCATTTGGAGCTGGTAAAGCAAATATTCAATAGGTTAGTCCATGGCATGAAGGGCTTATCCTTTGAGGAGAGGCTGAGTAAATTTGGCCTGTAGAGTTTAGAAGAATGAGAGATAATCTCATGTAAACATACAGGATTCTGTTGGGGTTGACACTGACAGGTTGCTTCCCCCCATCTGGGTAGAATCTAGAATGCAGGGTGTATAGTTTAAGGATAAGCAAGGTGATCATTTCGGACTGAGATGAGAAATTTTTTTACACAATGGGTTGTGATTCTTGGAATTCTGCAAAGGCTGTGAATGCTCCATCATTGAGTGTATTGAAGGCCAGGCAGATTATTGTCTCTCAGACAATTGAGGAATATAGGAATCAGGCAGGAAGGTGGAGATGAGCAGAAGATTAGCCATGATCATATTGAGGGGCAGGCAGAGCTCGAGAGTCATATAGCTGTGCCTGGACATCACACACAGATCATGTACACCTACATGGCAACTCTCACCACATATCACAAGATGGCTCAATGCATGAAGGGAGATGAGAAATTTCAACATCGGTCAGAGGCAAAATACAATTAAGCTGCACAATAGAAGGAAGACATATGCTTCAAATCAGGAAGGACAGTATCGGGAGAAAGGGCAAAAACCAGGGGAGAGGGAAGTGGGGAAGAAAAGCTTTGTTGGGGAGGTGATAGCCTAGTGGTACCATCTCTGGACTGTTAATCTAGAGACCCAGATAATGTTCTAGGGACCTGGGTTCGAATCCCACCACAGCAAATGGTGGAATTTGAATTCAATAGAAAAAAATCTGGAATTAAGAATCAAATGATGACCATGAATCCATTGTCGATTGTTGGAAAAAAACCCATCTGGTTCACTAATGCCCTTTAGGGAGGGAAACTGCCATCCTTACCCTGTGGCAGTCTATCAGGATCCATTATTACAATGATTCTGCTGCCTTTATAACCACACTT